ATAGTAATGAATACGACACTGGCGCAGCAGATATCGAGAAAAATAAGCAGCGACCTTTGTTTTCGTTGAGCAACTTATGAGAAAATCTCTCTCCCACTATTAGTGGGCTTGCCGTTTCTGAGCAGGCTTCCGTAGTCAGTTGATCGTTTCGAAAATGCAAGACTTGTCAGGCAAATTGGCGCCCATTACATTCCCATCACTGCGCCACTTAAGGCTGACTGACCGTTTTACCGCACAGACGGTATGACTGTCGAAGGTAGAAAACTCGCATAACCGTGAAATGTGACCGCACGCTCAGTCGCCACGCGCTCAGTCGACGCCCGAGCACTGTGTACAGGTGGTTAAATAGAGAAGCCGAATCTCGGCGATTATTTAAGTGTATCTCAATAATTGGGTACGTCTGTACACATATCTTAATCGCTGTTTGCCACGAGCTTGTTTCCAATGATAATGTACACCAGGGCGGTAAGCGATTGGCCCGAATCACCGTCGCCCATACGTTGTGTAGGAGTTTACAGCGTGAATCTTATGGTCAAGGTGGGCCGTATGTTACAGAGATATTGCAGAATAACGGCTAGGTAGGCCAATTCGTTTGGCCACACGGATGTATTACGGCAGAGCGGGAACGAATACAGAGGAAAAGACAAGACATATCCTTTCTTGATTGTGTTCGTTGTATTCGTCGCCGTGCTGCCTTCATACGTAAAAGATATGAAACTATCACACACCTTGCCAAACCAGGCCCAGCTAGGTGTCCAGCAGCTCTGCTGCGAGCCAGCTTAGAGTGGCTTAGTGCTAGCTTTGTAATCTTTTTTTTACATGTGAAGCATTTCTTAGCGAACTTCGGCGACTTTCAGCGTATCTATCTATCTATCTATCTATCTATCTATCTATCTATCTATCTATCTATCTATCTATCTATCTATCTATCTATCTATCTATCTATCTATCTATCTATCTATCTATCTATCTATCTATCTATCTATCTATCTATCTATCTATCTATCTATCTATCTATCTATCTATCTATCTATATATCTATCTATCTATCCGCCTACAACTTTTAACTTTCCTGGCCGTTTCGTTATTGATATCGATACCGAATTTGGTATGGCATAATATTATTGTATGATGGGCATAATTCACTAGTCATAACATGATTATCATTTTCACGGTCTTGCTGCTCTCGTGGTGGTTTCGTTCACATGACATTTTGGAAAACTGGTATGGTATGAGATGATTTCATGGCGAACACAAGTCACAGACCCTAACGTGAAAATAAATCATGACATGCATTTTACGTAAGTCACGAGTCATGACTACATGACACGCTCATAGTGCACACGCGGTCGTTTCGCTAGCTTCGCATATGCCAAACTTGGTATTACGGGACGTCAATTCATGATGAAGGTATATGACTGCTGCAAACATAATAATCATCAGATGCGTGCCATGTAACATCACTACATGCCACGCTCATGATATGCTCGCAGCCGTTTCGCTAGCTTCACATATTCCAAATTTGGTCTTACTTGACCCGAATGGACGACAAAGGTAAATGGCACGTCCAAAAATGATAATCAAGACATGCATGTCATGTAACAACATGACTACAAGCCACACTTATCATTCGCTCGCGGCCGTTTCGTTAGCTACACATATGCCAAATTTAGTATGACACGACGCCGATGGATGACGAAAGTATGTGACTGGTGCAAACATGGTAATCACGACATGCGTGTCATGTAAAAGCAAGACTACTTGCTACGCTCTTAGCGCGCTTGTTGCCGTTATGTTAGCTTCACATATACTAAATTTGGTATCTTGTGACGTTTATAAACTACGAAAGTAAATGACACGTCTTAACATTATAATCATGACAAGGAAGTCACGTACGGCATAATTTACGTCCACCTCGTAACGTTGTGCTGATTGTGACCTATCAACTTTCTTCATTCGTGCTTCGCATATCATCGATTCCCACTCTAAGTAGGATCTGCCATTTTTTTTTATTTGTAGACAACGCGGTGGCGTCTTTTTCACGGAGATGGGGTGTAGTAAGCTGCGAGACTATTTTTATTGATATTTAATGTCTAAATATTCCTGAGCTGCTTACCTCGGACAACCTTGCCCCGCCGTGGTAGTCTGGTGGCTAAGGTACTTGTCTGCTACTCGCAGGTCGCGAGATAGAATTCCGGCTGTGGCGGCTGCATTTTCAATGGAGGCGAAAATGCCGTACGTGTGTGTGCACATATTTGGCTTCACGTTAAAAAAAACCCCGGTGGTCGAAATTTTCCGAGCCCTCCACTTCGGCGTCTTTCGTAATCACAAGGTGGTTTTGTGACCTTAAATCCCACATACGAATCAATCAACCTCGGACAACCAATGCGTCTGTGACGTAACCTGCTACTGTTCCTTGCAACACTTCAGGAAATGCGCAAGTGTAGGGTGCCCCAGCTCTAATTAGGCAAGCTTACAGAAGACAAAAATAAAAGTAGTTGTTAGGTCAACATGATGTTTATTAAGAAAGGTAAAGCAGTCAATGCGAGTAAGGAAGCGATCCGGTATATAACTTGCATTATTGGCGTACACAAGCTCAACAATAACGTATCGAGCCATGTATTAATTATCAGCCTACATGAGGTCTTGAATATACTAATGAGGTGCTAACCTTAAGCGTGGGAAATCGTCCAAATTTTTCATAACCTAATCAATATACTGAATTTGCTCACACAGATCCACTTACGTTTTCGTACTTTACGTGAATGGGACTGTCTCGCTAATACAAGCGATGAATGAATTGCCTTAACAGACAACCTTCATCGCCCTTTATTGTTTTCGTTCTTCAATTGTCATTTTATTGATATCTGTATTTGCATATGTATTACCACCCTACTCAGATCTTGGGTCTACAGTTTTGAATAAATAAAATAAATAAAGATACAGTATTTTCATGATAGGCCTTACGGGCAACACGGGCCATCATTTCTTGTAACATGGGCCAGCAACAGTTGCAACCCGAAAATCGTAACATGGATTACGGGCCCATAGAAAAACGGACCCCTGACGTTTCCGTCGTGTTGCAGCAGCGGTTATGGGGTTCGGCTGGTGACGAGAAGGTTCCGGGTTCGATACCGATCGTGGCGGTTGTAGTTTATTGCCCGTGAAGTCCCTGATATCCCTCTACTGTACGATGTCAGCGTGCGTTAAAGAACACCATATTGTAGGAAATTGCGAAGCCTTCCACTACGGTGTCTCTCATAATCATATCCTAGTTTTGTCACGTACAACTCCACATAATAATTGGTAATATCGTTGTTGTTGGGGTTTTAAGTCTGAAAAGAACCTCGATGTCTAATTATGTGTGTCTATGCAGCCTATTTTTTGTACCTATATGTCACCCATTTTTGCTTTTGTGCTATTTCTGTGTTCTGTTATTATGCTGCTCCTTGTATTGTGATAAATATTATTCAATGTAGCACTGTTTGCTGAACTCCTTTCGCGTAGTGAAGCCACGTCAGGCCGAATGGCCTTTAGCTTCGCTTCGTTTTTCTGTATCTCTCCAGAAATAAAATCTGTTCATTTAAAAATCATTTCAAAAAACAGAATATCTTTACTAGGGATGCCGTAGTGGAGGGCTTTATGAAGTTCGACAGCCTGGTGTTCTCTTAAGATGTAAAGAAATTAACAGGAAGATAGACCACTTTCTCTTGCATCAAAATGCAACTATCGAGGCCGGGGTTCGACACCGCCACCTTCGGGTCACAAACGAGTTTCAATGAATGACCCTCTTCCGGGTTCACCGAAGTTCATAACGTGCTTTCATACGCCCAAGGAGCTGCTATACGGTGCGCGGCACGGCAGCTGCCACGATGCGTCATCTCAAGCATACCTATTAGGACGGAAGCGGCGAATCAATCTTGTATGCCGGCCGCTCATGGCTGCGGATCGATGGAGCTGCCTGGCAGGCGTGCATACAAGCTGCCTAAAAAGAACAGAAAACAGCTTTTTTTTATTGTTTTTCTGCTGCAGCCACCTTATCGCATGAGACACAGCATGCGCAAGTTTCTTACACCGTTCGTGCTGTTTAGCGCGCCCTCTCTCCTCTTTTTCTACACGTTCCTTGTCGTATTCATTACAATTTTTTTCACACAGTAATACCTATACGAAAGCTTTTGAGGGCGGAACGTGGATTTCCTCGCAAAAATATCTTGAAAACAGGAAACGAAAAGTATACACTGCATGGCGATATTAATGCTCATACTCTAGGCCACACACGCACATCATGGGTTGGTAATCGTTCTGCTGTATACACCGCAAAAGCTTTCTAGTGAATGTGGTACAGCAGTTTATAATTGTTTTTGTTTTTTTAGTTTTTACGTCTCATAACACCAAAATGATCTTGAGAGACGCTGAAGCGAAGGGCTTTAGACCATGTAAGTCATGAGAAACCACTTTCAAATATTTTGGTGTGGTAATATAATAAATTGTTCAGAATAACTGCTACCATGACTCCAACTACGACCTCGTCTTCGAATGGCCACGAAACCCCGAAGAGTTTGTGAACTGGGCATGTCATCTCTTCCCTCGCAGATTAAACCACCCTGTGTGTCACTATGAGTGGAGGTTCTCAAGTGTCCGTCACTCTGGTAAGATCACATTCCTGATTTGGTTCACTGATCCCTGTGTTCTTTGTTAAGTGAAATCACCACAATTTTTATTGTTTTTTTTTGGTACATGGAGGGGTCATCCCATGAAAACTCGGCTTTGCCGTCCGCTTTCTAACCGTTTAAACACTCACTATAAATATGTGATAGTTTCGTAGCAATTCTTTTATAATAGTTGCTTTTAAAATCAATTTGGTACTCTAGCATACAGTCCGTAGAACCTGTGTGGTGATGTGGCATTATTACTGCTTGAAAGAAGTGGTTTGTCAAGCAACAAAAATAAAACAGCAGTCAAGCATGCTTCGTACATAATATTTTTGCATCATTTAAACCATGGCTGCAGTACGCATGCCTTTCGCGAGAGATGCAAGGCCGGCTTGTTGGTAGCACATCTTCAGTAGGTTTTCTTTTAACGCACACGAAAGACAGGACAACCGTAAGCACACAGGAAAAGACAGGGCATTTTGTGCCCTCTCTGTCTTTGTGTCACTGCCATGGTTCTGTCTTTTATGTGCGCTGCAAAAAAATCAATAAAAATAGGTAATGGAGAATGCTCTTCACCTGCATTTTTTATAATTACATCCTTACTTCGTCTTCTCCTGAAGATCTTACGTTTAACGGGAAACACTTCTCCATTATTACTGCTACTAAGTTTCGAGCTGATGCTCATATCCCGCAAAACTGCGTATTTTCTAGTGAACTTGGCGGACTTGTATGCAGTCTTTTATATACTCTTTGAATTACCTTGAAAAAAACGTTTACTGAGCTAACAAATTGGGACGACAGAAAGAAAGAATGTCGTTATTAAGTTGTGTTGAATGACCCAATGGGGACGAGCAATTATGAAATTAGTAATTATATCGACTATTTTGTACCATGAAGCTACAGAAGACCCATGCTCGTTTCTCAGAGAGAGCGACGGTTAAAAATATGTGTTGGTTCTAGGTTCAATCCCCGGACTTGGGCCACTCTGTCGTCAAATAAGAATATTTACTTTCTGAGATATCAGCGTCAACTTTTCATGGATTTCGTTGTAGTTTTCTGGTGCAAACGGTCGGTTGCCAACTTTCCCTTTCAGAAAATATGGTATGCCGTGTACATGTCCGCGTTTCGTCTTCTAGCGCCCATGCTTTCATCCCAGTACGAACCTGATTAGAGCCGACTATCGCTAGCTCATGCTAACTTGTTGCGGCTTTTATCTGCATTACACGTGGACATTGTAGCTCCATAATTAGGTTAGTGGTCTCGTCTGTATTTGTTATTTGCTCTACTTTTTTTTACTGCTGAAATCTACAGCTCCGTTATCTCTTCAATTATTCTCTTCATACTGTTTCACTTTAGCTCTTGTCAGCGTGCCTGCTGCCCTGGTGCAGCACGAGTGTACACTGCTCGCGCACCGAGCGTGTGTTTGCCCAGCTGAAGGCACTGCGTGAATGTGAGCAACGCGCACTGTTTGACGCAGGCGACAACGACACCGGTGAGCATGACTTGTAAAATACCCATTTTGGGGGAAGGGAGAAGTCCATCGAAAAATCGGAAAGATGCACCTTATGGTTTGGGGGATTTATGTGCACCGGCCTGGACAGAGTAAAAAATAAAAAAAAAGTAATGTCGCAGCAAATAACACAAAAAACTTAACATAAGAGATCTATGCGACAGGTTATCGGCGTGTACATTGTTTTATTGCGAAATTTCACAAACAGGAAGAAGCAATAGATTTCAAAATTGCAAACTTGATCCCTGAAGCGAAGCTTACAATGCTCAGAAAAAGTATAGTGCAATCGTTATGTTCTAAAATTAAAATACTAGCATTCTCTGGTCCCGTCACATGCTACACATTTGTAAAAAAAAGACTATTGAAATGGGTGTATGGCAGGACATGTGAGAAGCTTCTATACATCGAATAAAAAATGTAATTTTGCAAGATGCAAACTGCAATGCAATCAGTGTCAGAATATTTTTTGTTCATATCATCAGTAGCTGGCGCAGTACGGCAATGGCTGTCGACGTTCGCGCACTCTGTGAAGACACTTTAAGTGCACAACAAATTACTTCCGTAGCTTTGACTATACTACACCACTTTTGATTATGCAGTTTTAGCAGTAGAGTAAAGATAAAATATCTCATGTGAACATGGAAGATAAGCTTTGTTTTGTACTTGTGAAAAGCAATATAGTTCTTGTGCAGACAGCAGAAGGTCACTGGGTGTTTGCCTCGTGTTTACTTGCTTACATTTATATTACGTGTCCACAATACGTGTTTACGAGTGTACGTGATTACTAAATGTTGGTAGACATCTTATGTACTGAGAGCACGCGGCATCGAAAAAGTCTTGAATTCACCTCATTTAGCAGGCTACAGTCATAACATTTCGTGCCATGAAGACCGAGATAGTGATGATCCCAGGAGGAGACGAGGAGGAGAGGAGACTTCGAAGAAAATTTCACTTGACGTTCCTATTTGAAGAAACGCCTATTCTATATGTGACATTTTAATTGGGAATAAGATTACGCGGGTACTGTATAGCAATTCAGCCAATGGCCCGTTTCATTTTGTTTGGCGAACCCACGCAACCCTTCTCCGTATGAGTCCAAGGGTGGCGTTTTCGAGGCCCCTGTAATCGATGGAGACAGAGATGCGGTGCTAACCAGTATATTAACCATTAAAAAAAGGTTATGGTAACTTCGCACTTGTACCCAGCTTGAAAGAAGAGCGGAGCCTCGAGGCTGACGTTTCTATCCTAGTTTTATTGTATTTCGTCTTGCTCTGTTTCTTTCTCTCTCTTTTCTTACCTCATTTTTGTAGATGTTTCTTTCTAAACTTCTTCGTCACTCTCTGTGTTTATTTCACTGTCTTTCACCTTACATCTTCATTTGCTTTCTTTTCTGTCTCTCTCTATAAATCCCTCCATTTTATTACATCTTACTGTCTCTTTTCTTTTCTCTCTTTTTTTTGTTTTGCCTGTTTCTCTCTTTCTCATTCTTAAATCTCTTTTTTTCTTGCTATCTGCATTAACTCTTTTTTTGTGTGTCTGTCTAGTTCTATCACTCTCTATTTTAGTGCTTTTCTTTGTCTTGATCTTTTTGTTTTGTTTTCCCTTCAACTCCATGGCATGTACTCACTCTGGGAGCAGAGGGCATAGTTGAAAATTTATAAGGTTATTCGAATAATGTTAGGTCATTTACAGAGAAATAAAGAATTGAAAAAGCAATTATACGTAACACAATATATTAAGACTACAAGTAATATGCTATCGAACTCGTACTGGAAACCTGATTGAAACAATTTTGCGGAGATTAGGTAGATGTTTTAGCCTTTTAATAGGAAATATTTATGAAGACAAGATTACAATTGTACTCGTTTAGCGGTTTGAATGTAACTATACATGACATCAAAGGCGTTTCAGAGGCAGTATTCCGTGCCTAGGGCCTGAAACATTACTACAATTTGTTGAACTTCACCACTTTTCCTTCTTATTTCTTCATATATTTCTTTCCTCTCCTACCTCCTTTACGTGTTCGTTAATTTAATGCTTGCATCTGCTGTACGGGGTAGTCGGAGACCTGACAATTCCAGTGGGAAACCCCGCCCGAGGGTGCTGTTTGCGTTGGACAGACTATGGCTGGCCTAAAAAGCTCCGATGTTGAAACTCTCTTCATCAACGCGACCGTGCGGTTCGCGTAAGGAGTCGCATAGAAATGCACGTACTCTCCTCAAATTAGGGTGAATCGTCTGATTTGGTGCTCGTCTTAGGTTGTATTCTATGTCTTCTTTTTCTCTTGTTAAACCGGCAGCATCGTGTGACTGGCGATTCGACGGTTGGCAGTGCTGGCCTCCGACGCCCCTTGGAGCCACGGCCCGCGCAGCATGCCCGGAACTATTGCCGGGAGAAGTGAACTCCACCGGTCAGTACGCCTGACATTGTCACGGTGAACGTGGACTCGCGTGCATCTTTTTACCAGTTCTTGTGACCTCTAATTCTTACAACTGGTGTACCGAACTGCTCGCAAGTATTGTGTGTTCATGCTAGCATGAACCACTCCCGCATTTCGTGACATAAATACGTGAAATTCATGTTTCCAGTGGTGTCGAAATGACTGCCTCCACAGGAAAGATAATTGTTAAGGCAGAGGACAAATGGTGCATTTTTAAATTTTTTTGTTTTATTATATTGAGATTCGTTTATCGCGAAACCTTGCATACTGTGGTGTTTCTCAGGGCAAGCTACGAAGTTATCGCAATAGTACTAATCGCCGTTGTTTTAAAGTTAATATTCCAAGTACTTCAATAAAGGTGTGTGGATAGTGCAAACATATGCGCAATTGATTGCGAGATATAGCTGACGGTTGCGAAAAAAAAAACGAAGTTGTCGCAGTCATTGCGTTCTATCAGCTGCATATTCGTATAGGGTGACGGCTCCCAGAATAATCTTTAGGCAGAACGAACTTTTGCAGTCTCCTTTGCGTTTTTATGTGTGCTTGAAACCGGCGTGTTTATAAGTATAGAGATGCCACGGTCTGTGTGGTGTACAACATCATGCTACCAGGCTTTTTGGTGCGCGCTAGAAATAAAAATAAATGCTGGAAATAATTCCTCCCACTATGTGCTCTGTCCGCAAAACATAAGCTTGGTAATAAGCTCCAACAGTTTTTTGTCGAAGCTGCTATTCTGCCTTGCTAGGCAACTTACGATAATATGTTTGCCATTACTGTGTTATTCTCCCCCGCGTGAGCAGTATGCGACGCGATTGTTTATATGAGAGCGCGTGACCCTTTGTTTCTACTGGCTCACTCCAGCAGTGGCTGTGAGAGGCGCATAAGTTTGCGAGGCGAAGCTTTGCAGTCTATTTACAGGAGCATTGAACCTATGAATCTTCTCGCGAGAGAAGCACGCAAGCCACGATTTCCTACGCGAGGTAGATGGCATACGCCATTGGACAGGTCCAGAACGCCTTTCCGCAATGTTATCTTTCGGCGACAGCGACGGAACTGCTCGCTATAGACTCTTGCCAGATATGCATATGAGAGCGCATTTTGTTCCCCTGCAGCGTTCCTACGAAAAGAGGCTTAGGCAGGAAAAGTGCCGAGGAAGATTTGCCGTGAGGCGCTCAATATTCGTGCCCCCCTCCCCCCTGTCTTCCTGATTTTTTTTGTACATGCACTGTGGTTACGTGCTGCTGCAACTTCTTTTAGAAAGTACTTGCTAGGTATACAAAGTCCAGCCACATGCGCATACTAACAAAATCTTTGAACAGAATGTGCGATCCTTAAAGTCTTCAGAATGCCTTATAAGCTATAGCCAACGTAGGAGGTGCCTTACCACCGAAATACCAATTCAGAATTGCGAAACACACTCATGGATTTTAATAAGCCAGTTGAACTCTTGATCTGTGGAGTTAGGACATTGTTCCAGGGAAGACATGAAAAGTTGAAATCTACCCTTGTCAAGGGAATTTGGAAGCGCTGCCTTTATGATTCTAGCATTTGAAGTTCTCGCTCGGGTGTAATGTCTGATTTTTAGTGAACATTAAATAGAATATTATAAAAAGCTGTTTGATCTCTATATTTGATAACCACATTAAGGGGAGACGCTACTCGAAAAAAAAAGTTTATTTAATTTGTCGCCTACAACACCGAAATATTTTATGTGTGCATTGGCCTAAATGCTTATTTCAAATATGCAATATGTTTTAAAGTAGATTGCAATGTTTTCGTTCTGTACCATGACTGTTTAAAATATAGCTTTTTTTGGACATACTTTTTGTGCCCTAAGCGTTTATGGTTATAAGCCATTAAGGACGCACGTTGCTCCCCATTATTGGTAGAGTGCAAATCTAATAGAGAAGTGTGTATAAATTATTATAATGAACAAAAAAGTTGAGATAAGAAAAGACTTTCAATGTTAAGCCCATACTAATTGCTTATTTAAAGTATGTGAAAAATAGGAGTTACCAGGTAATAAAGACAATAATTGGACTCTCCTTATGCTACATAATATGAGGAAGAACTTCTAATTCATCTGGTCATCAGAAGTGATAGCCAGATGAAGATAAAACATGAAGTATAATCTCAGAAAGTAGCCAAGGATTGAATTTAGGAAAAAAAAACATTTTAAACGTAAAAATGAAAGCCCATCGATGTGGCAAAAGTATGCTTTTGACTTCGTCAATAGAGCTTCGTCAATAGAGCTTCGTCAAAGTGACTTCGTCAATAGAGCTTGAGTATCGCGGCTATTTTTAACATGCTGCTCTGGTGAATTTCTCACGAGAAATGCTATAGGGAGCAGCCATTGACAATTTTTACAGGACTCTGAGACAATCAGCTCTTCATAGTTTTCTTAGCAACCTTGTGCTCTTTGAAAACGGTTTTAACCTACTTCGCGATAAATAACAGCCTTGATTCATGAAATCACGAAAATACACGAAGCAAACATGTAGAAGCTGGCAAAGAGAAAAAAATAATTTTGCAAAAATAAAACGTCTCTTCGAGTAGCTTCTGTCCATTATATCTTCATTGTGTCAGATAGGATTCTTGCGGGATTGATTGCAGACTCGTTTTTTTTTTTTAGCGCAAATACGCGAACATATAGGGTTGGGTACTAAAGCCTGTATCCCATTGCATTGCTTTAATAATAGAGCCATAGAAATACCAAAACATACAAAGCGGGATATCAAGCAAAGTAATCCCTCTCTGACCGGTTTGAGAAAGCTGTGAAAAATTAATAACCACGAACATCTCCATAATGCATGAGCACAGCAAAACAAACTACATAACTATTCACGCTTTCATCCACACCATAATTTGTGCGAGCCTGGACTTGCGATCTGGTTCAGAGGCTCCAATCTTTTAGCTTGTCACATACAGCAGCAATGAATAAACAATATGTTGGTTCCACACTATTTAACAGGAGATTTACAGAATGAACAAATAGATAACCAATCCAATCCGCCACTTTCAACATGTCTGCAATAAAGTTACGACATGGGATTGGCTTCCTTTTCGCAGCCGCTCCATGATCCAATTCGCTGTTTTGGTTCGTGTTTTATCATGAGAGGTTTTGATAATTTTTCTAGATTTCTAGAGATTATGTACAGGGTTATCGAGTATTCCACAGCACCGTGAACAGTAATAGGTCGATTAGGTTGAAGCAGACTCTGCTGGATTGCAAAAAAAAAAAATCCTCCTTGTAATATAGCAATACCTCATTTAGCTAGCCAGGATGAGAACGTCAAAGTGGATAAGCTAGTCTCAGCCCACTTTATTATGCAGGATCTACGTTTCAAAATACTTGTCAGAATAGAAGTTACGAAATATTGGAGGCGATTTTTGAAACCGTGTAAACGTTTTGTTTGTTTTCTTCGACACTGATTATCGAAAAGGTGGTCTTTTTCTTTATTTCTTAGTTTTGAACTGCAAGCCACTCACTACTGCGGGATTTCAGAAACTGTGTCTTTCATTTTTATTGAAGTGACGCGTAAACATTAACATCCTTTTAGACGATGTGTAAGCGATACTACCCAGTGGAGGAAGAAACGAGGTTCAAAGAAAGAAGAGGCTAAGCGGAACTCAACTCTCGCACTTTGAAACTCTGCTCTTTTCAAGATTTACGTAATCCCGAAAATTATAAAAAAACATAGCGGAGAAGTACGGTATGGGAGCTGATAGAAGAACACAGATCGATCAACACACATTCGCGTGCAGACACATGATGTGGGTGTGTTGAACGAGCCTTGCATGCTTGAACGAACTATCACCGTCGTCGCATTTCTGTGGCCAGCTATTCTTAAGCTGGCTGCCACAGATTGTGTAGCCGAGACAAGGTACTCACTCCCCTTGAGGCTTAGCATTAGCTATTCATCGTGTCTATATGCCCTACAAGCTCTACAATGGCTATGAACACGTTCAGCCATTTTGTCGCCAGTAACATCATCTCAGTCCTTCAAATTACGCAAGGCTTCTTTCTAAGTCCGGTGTGTTAACGCAAACATTTCCCGCTGGTCGCGTCATCGAATCCCGCCTCCGGTGGCTGCATTTTTGATGGAGGCGGAAATGCTGCAGGCCCATGTGCTCAGATTTCGGTGCATGATGAAGAATCGCAGGTGGTCGCAGTTACCGCAGCCCTCTACTACAGCGTCTCTCATAATCATGTGGTCGTTTTCGGACCTAAAACTCTACATATCAAGTCAATCAATGCAAACATTTCAACTTTAAAGCATGGTAAGCAAGGTTATATTAGAAGAAGTTAATGTTGGATGAATCTGTGCATGTCTTATTGGAAGATATGTTCGCGGAGATTGGATGAACACAGGAAAAATTGGCCGATCCCACGTACTGTGGGAATCCATGATTTGAGAAGCACGAATGAGGAAGGCTGATACGTCACCCTAAAATCAGCACAACGTTACGAAGCGGGCGTAAATGATGCCGCACATGACTTCGTTGTCTTGAATATAACGCTTAAACGTGTCATTTACTTCATCGTCTATTGAAGTCATGTGATACCAAATTTGGTATATGTGGAGCTAGCGAAACGGTCGCAAGCGCGCTATGAGCATAGCAAGTAGTCTTGTTGTTACATAACACGCATGTCATGTATATAATTTTTGGACGTGCCATTTACCTTTGTCGTCCGTTCGCATCACGTAATACCAAACTTGAAATATGTGAAGCTAGCGAAACGGCCATGAGTGCATCAGGAGCGTGGCATGTAGTCATGTTGTCCCATGACGCGCATCTCATGATTGTCATGTTTGCCCCAGTCATATACCTTTGTCATGAATTCACGTCCCGTAATACTAAATTTGGTATATGTGAAGCTAGCGAAACGACCGTGAATGCACCGTAAGCGTGGCGTGTGGTCATGACTAGTCATAAAATAAAAATCATTACATGCATGTCATGATTTC